CCCTGTAGACCCTTCCCTAAAATACAAAAAAAAAAAAAGAAAGAAAAAAAATTGTGTACATTCTGGCCGCACAGCAATTCAGTTCCTGACTCTGCTGTACCTAGTGTGGGATTTTTGTATCAAAAATATCCTCAATCTCAACTTTTTTTTTTTTAATATATGTAGTAGAGGGTCTACAGGGTCTCACTCCACAGATCGGACTCGGGAGTGATCTTCTTGTTTTTCAGCCTCCCAAGAGCTAGGATTACAGGCATGTGCCACCACACCCAGTCTCAATCATGTCTCAGGGCATCCTGGGGATGGGGCTGGCACAGCACATGGGGATTGAACACTGGTCCCTGCATCTGCCTAAGCAGGCACTTTAATCTTCTGAGCTATCTGGCCAGCCCTCAACCTAACATTTTGAAAGAACCTCTGTGGGCAGTTCATCCCTTTTCGAGGTAAAAGTATTATTCCATGCCTTATCTGTGGGTCGCCCAGAGATCTAAACCAGAATTAACTGTAAAGCTTTTCTGTCATCTAACATCATATATCATCTCTACTTTTGAGCTGGAAACCTGTATTTTAAAAAAATCTTGTAGGTATAAGCCTGGGTGTATAACAGCAGCACAGTGCCTTCTTGGCAAATGCAGATCCTCCCTACTACTGAAAACATGACGTCATGCAGATCTCTCTTTTTTTTCAATTAACTATTGTTTCAGAGTGTTTCTAAGTTGTTAAGTTGTCCTGACTGCCCTTAAATGTGGGAGGCACAATAACTCCAGGCCTCCAATACTACTGCAAGTGAATCTTTTTCTAAATCCTGTGAATCTGCCACATTATGACTCCGTGCCATATAGCCCTTAATTGTCACAAGTGCCTCTGACCTATAAAATTCTCTTGGTGCATGGGTGTCATTAGTGACGTTGACTTCCTCCTCCCCTACCTCTGCTGAGCTAGGTTCCTAGTACTTACCTGGCCTATTTCCCATAAGTCTCCTGCTATGTCCTGGAGGTGGGACTTCCTGTCATAGCCCGGTTGCCTAGTTACTAGCGCCTTTTTACCCGCCAACGTCATTTCCCTATGCCCCCACTATATATACTCAGCACCTCCCCTGAATAAACGAGACTTGATCAGAATCCTGTCTTGTCTCCATTTCTCGCGTCTCCTGTCCTTTGTCCTCTCTTCAATTCCCCGCTCCTCCCCCAGGTGACCTTCGTTAACTGACCCGCTGGTTCGGGACACTTAAATGTCCAATCCTGTCTCCCGAGTAGCTGGGGGGAAACACAAATGTGTTTCACTGTATCTGGTTTCAGTTCATTTTCCATTAGAAAATATACAGCCATTAAAAACAACTCACAAGGGGCCAGCAAGGCAGCTCAGTGGTCTAAAGCACCTGCTTAGGCAAGCTTAGGCAAGTGCTCTGGGATCACAGTTCGATCTCTGGCACCACATGCCCTGCCAGCCCAGCACCCAGGGTGGGCGGAGCTGGCCACAAAAAAGACAAAAACCAAAAACCTCACAAGTGTGTACTTACTAAGGGTATATTCTTCAGCACACACACACAAAATTCCTGCTTTTCTCATTAAATGTTAATCGAGACCTTTCTCTCATGTGAAAATCTTCCTCGTACTCCTTTATGGCTGGTGATCATTTCTCACTGGTGAATGTTCAAATTGCTTTCAAAAGCCTCAATATTGG